GAAATGCGATGAAAAAACCTTACCATTAGACGATTTTATATGGAGTCATAGGCGGAGATCGGAGAGACTTGAATTATTAATTGAATTTATATTTTATTACAACTGGTAGTATTAATATTTTTTTGCGATTCATAATGACGTGATACCAAACATACATTATAAGAAATAAATATACACAAACACTGAATATTGAGAACAAAATAAATATATTTTTTAGGCAACAAGTAATATTCCTATGTACGCATTATGATTGAACAGCAAAACAAATTATGCATTCTTCTAAAATAGAATACAACAAGTCAAAAATATCTGACTGAATAGAAAAATATAGGAAAACAAAAAGTAATTTCTTGATGAAATAACCCATAAACAACACATAGAATTAGACTTTCTACTGAGATACTAAAAGCCACAAACCAATAGTATAATAAATGAATATCTAAAAATTCTAAAAGGTAGCCAATCTAGTATAGTTTCAATCCTGATTAGAGTCATGATCACTGTCTGAGGAACTGTCATTGCTATCACTTTCACCTCCTATGTTGATTATTATTTCTTCCTGTATTTCTTGAATGAGACTGTCTTTTTCCCAATATTCATCTTCAATTTTTATAACATGTCCAATAACCTTTTGCCAGTCACTGGCACTTACTGAAGCGATGGCCTTATTAGAAATTTCATCTAGTTTTTTTATAGTAAATTCGCCGCTTGTATTATGGCTTCTAATGAAAAATTTTACTTGTGCCCAAATCATCTCTATGGGATTAAACTGACACATATAGGGTGGCGTTCGAAGTGGGGTGTGTCCGAAACTTCTTATTAAATTATCTATCTTATAATTTTTCTCATCAGATGGTGGCCTATGTAGACAAGCTATTTCATAAAGCTCCATTTTTTTAGCATTAGGATCATGCTCTATACCTTTTTTGCTCAACCACGTGATGATGTCTCTTTTTAGAGAAGATCTAGTTGGAGGCTTGTCTTCCAAAGCTGAATGGTAAGGTGCATTATCCATTATTATAATACTATTAGGAGGAATGTTAGGAAATAGTTTTTCAGTAAGCCACTTCGTGAAATTTTCTTGGTTCATTTGACCGTGATAATCACCAGTGGCACAGCCAGCCTTGAAAATGAGACAGGCTCCAGGAACAAAACCATCTTGCGAACCCGCATGAACAATTATAAGTCGTCCTGGAAATGAATAAATAGCCTCATTTTAGTGTTATTTTAAGTTTGCCAACACCTTTTTGAATCACTATGTATAAAAAACATATTTTTGAGAAAAAAATACTTGCAAGGGATTATGTATTCAATTAGACAAATTAAATGAGCACTTATTAAGAATATTCCAAAATTGAGAAAAATGTATAATAAGCAAAATCGAGGTGAAAGAAACTTTATTACCTGTAGAACTTATATTGCTCAGGACACCCATAATTTCTTCGCTTTGCCAGCATTTCTTGAAAGTGAGGTCATTATCAACCCAAGTTTCGTCCAAATAAATAATATGCCTTCCTTCTTCCCGGAACTTTTTAATAGACCTAAGATACTTGTATCGCCAATGTAAAATACTGGGTCTTTCCATTAGTAATTTCCTTTTGTTGTGGCATTTACGCCAGTAAAATCCTTTTGCTTTTAAAAGCAGCCTCAACGATTCTTTACCAAATGGAAATTCCATTTCTTCCTTCAGTTTGATTAGAAGTTTACTACAAGTAGGTACCACTTTAAAATCACAGTAAAATTTTTCTATCATTCTCCGAATAATGGAAAAATCGACTCCATCAATTTTTTGGATCACAGAAGGGCGTGATCTCTTTTTTCCGGGAGAAGCTAAAGGCTGTGTGGAGGTTGCATTTTGCCTGTCTTTATCTTCTTTTCTAATTTTACTTATAGTTCGTTCACTAACACCCGTATAATATGCCGCCCTTGCATTTCTAGCTACCAGTGGATAAACGAAAGTATTGTTAGCCGCTTCTGCATCGCAAGCACGTATCACGTTTGCTATTATTTCCCTTGCCTGGCTGTGAATAACTTTCCCATGCTTGAATTCCATTATCACCACTAAACAGTAAATTATATTTTCAAAGTATTTGCCAACTGCCTACGCCTATGGGAGTAGGTTTATAAATGACCGTGCCATCGGCACGTTATTCTAGTTTCAGATAAGATAAGAGTTTTGGACCAATCAGCGACCGGATGTTTACCTGCGGCCTGGGTTTTCCAGCTACATTGCCAAATTCAGCGGAACAATTCTATATCTTAAATATGTTAATATGTATGGACCGCATTTTATGTAGAACATCTGACAACTTCGCAATTTTTTGTCCGCATTCTTTCGGCTTGCAATCTTTCGCTGGTCCAACATTACCTAACCTCATTTGCGACATAGGTGATTACCAACGCACCCAACCCCGCCGTCCACCATTCAACTATACCATCAACACCGTTCAAATTTCCCGCCGTCTGATCCACCAATCAGAGCACCCGGGTCCCAAAAACTTCTGTCTGACCGACCTGTATGGCTGAGCGACCAATGGGTATCACCATTTTAGGACACGTCTTGCTAGATACGACAAGGTCCGTGTCTCCCACGAGCAGTTCCACACACACCTCCCATGTGAATGGAGCTTATTTCGATCTGACGTTATACCGTCGGTTCATCGACCCGTCGGTAGGGCCCCAAAAATTTCTATCGACCCCTGTATGTGGGTCACTCTACGACACCAGTGCGACATCGACACCATCTAGCGCTTAGAGACACAACTCACACTTATCAATGATACACATAACGTTTGACAGATGACGTTTGTATGTAGCGTCATCTAGCGGCGAGAACCACAGACTATCAGGTGATGGGTAACCTGTCGGGTATTTCATTCCAGGCTACTGCAAGATGGCATATCTCAGCTATTTTACGAAAATTGAAGTTAAAATTTTAATCACTTTCTATTTATCATTAGACCTATAACCTGTAAATGTATGCTAAAATTATAGCACTCCGGTCGGTGTTGCCTTAGAAATACTATGAATTTTTCTTCCAAGAATCGCCCTCAAATTCTATCTGTTTTTATTATTGTCTTGCGTAAGACTTGCTATACATACCTAAATTGGGTTACAGAAACATTTCTGCTTCATCCCACATTCCCAGTTTATCGTAGTATTTAACTATTTTAAAAAAAGTAAATGTCATAAATATTAATACTAATATAAACGTAACACTTTTCAACAGTTCATCTTCAAACGAAGACATTTGTGGTTTAATATTCACGAAGGAAAGATCAACTGCCAAAAATATTGCACCATGTACTGAAAGATTTGAGTGAACATGTACCAGAGTTCAGACATATAAAGCCGGATTTCGTTGTGGGATATAACGGAAACTCTTTTAATAGCACCGTAGAATCACTTCCGATTAATAAGAAGAACAGATAAGTACTTGATCGTTTTTTAGAAACAAGGAGATTAACATTTTAGTGGCGCCAAATGTAAGAGAAGGTGTAGATATACCAACTTGTACTATGGCTGTCAGGTAATTTTATTCACTAGTTTCTCATTGATTCGCTTGAATAAATCAAGATATGCTAGAGGAAAGCTCGTCACCGATAAATTGCATATAATCACTAGCTCAAGTATTCTAGCAAGATCTTTGCAAATCAATTAAAATTAAGTTTGAGTCGCTGTTCGTAGGCTCTAGGGTACGAACGCAGCATCGGTTTCGACCGAATTTGGCCAAAAATGCCCCTTCGACGACACATTTGGTCGTCGGCTCATGAACCCTACGGGCAAAGGTTTGGAAAAAATCTGGTCGCGTACCAAGCGGACATAAACATGGTCAGCGTATGAAAAATACTTTTTCCTCAACAATTAAACAATTACATGGCTTCTACAATATCTGATTGTTACTTTCTACCATATTCTATCCGTAACTTCAACAAGAATATTAAGTGACTCTACTTTGTTGCATTTTGTTTTTTTTTTGCTAGCGCCATAGTCTAACCTTTTACATGCACAAAAATAGAGGACCCACCGGTAAATTGTCGATACGGCTGACCAAAGAACTGAGGAGATTATAGGTAACTATTCTAAATTAAGTATATTTCGGTGTTTACCCTGTATCCCCTACCATTTATAATATATTATTTTGATTTTTTAATTGTATAATTTTAAAAATATCTGCATTTTAATAGTACATATGTTTTATTATTAACTTTGTAGATTAATGTATGGTCTTATTGTGAAACTGCTTTTGCAGTAACTATTATTTCCGTTATAACGGTGGGAAGCAAATATGTGTTTTCATATCCCAACGAATGTCAAAGGAAACAGTATTATCGGATACCAGCGCTGATAGATGTTATGCCTTTTCAGTATGTGTTTTTTTTCTGTAGCCTTCGGTTGTCTCTGGTGCTGTTTCGAAGTTCTATGAGGTTATCGTGCTTCTCAATTTTTTCGGTGCTCATAAAAAATAGTATAGCTATTATCGAAAATAGAGTTTTTATTTCTACTTTTCGTAATAACCATTTACGTAGTGATACGAAGTTCTACATGGTTATCATGCTTCTCAATTTTTCGTGCCCGTGCAGTACAGTGTTGGTACCCGTGCAGTGCAGTGCCCAACACGTAAGATAGTAAAATGATTATTATTGTAAAAATAGGAATTCAAAACTCTATTTTATTAGTAATAATCGATTACTTTTACGTAGTTTCCTCTCTACACTGCTTATGAATCTGCTGTATTTTTTATTTTCCAAGATATGTTTTTTTGTGATTATACAAAGTTCTACATGGTTACACTGCTTCTCAATTTTTTTGGTGTATATTACTGCAGGCGTTTAATAATAACAATGCATACTTTTAAATATTTTTATATGGAGTAAAAAGGCTGAACAATTTCGGGTGCAAAAATATTTTTCAATTAGGCGGGAAATAAAAAACAAAAAATCATTTGCATACATTTTATTTTACATGTTTATTAAAAAATATTTACATACATTAATAAATCAATATTTTATTTTCTTAAATCCAAATGGTACAGAGGTATGATCTTCATAGAATTTCCTTTTCATTGAAGTTATCTTGTATAGCTTAGGAAACTCGACTGTTACTACTGCATGCTCTCTTGTACGTCGTAGCTGTCGAGAAAGTACAGAAACAGGATCAGATTTCTTCAGCACCATGTCTTTTATTTTCTCAAAATTGACCACTTGGGATGCCTTGTAGTTGAGTGATATGCCTTTTACTTTACATACGATCTGTTCCTCTCCAGACAAAGTAGTATATTTGTAGGCGTAGTTCTTAGGTCCTCCAGAAACAAACTCTGATATGAAACCCCCATTGAGCTCATCGGTCATATCACCTATGAAGTCGCCTGTAGATATGTCGTCTAATCCCTTACGAGAGATATAAATACATGAATCTGTATCTACGTAAACTGCCCTTTCTTCCACTTTCTCCAAGAATGAATATAATTTTAGTCTAGCTAGGGCCGTGACGTATGAAGCCAATACAACGTTAACCGTTGAAGAAACGTCATACGCCTCTTCTCTAAATTCCCAAGTTACGAGAAGGGTTTCTTCGTTTACCGGGAGAACTGTATTTACATGAATAGAAGGATTAGTCAGCATATCAAAGAATTCACCACAGTCTCTGACTATTGAGGTTTTGTTTTGGTTTTCTTTTTGAGCAAATTTACCCCAAAAAGAATTCAGCATAAGTTTAGCTAACGATCTCAAACAGGGGTTCTCTATAATTTTTGAAAATTCCAGCTTTATGTCCTCTGTATCCAAAAATGCATCAATATAACGGTTTTTTTCTTCATCCGTTAAGCAATGTTTGGGCCATCCTGAAGCTTGTTGTTTTATTTGTAGAAACTTGTTCATCATTCCGCTAAATAACCCCTCTTGGTCTTTACTGAGCTGAATTGTATCGTATTCCCATATTTCGTAAGTCTCTATAATCTGGTAACCTTTTTCAATAGCTTTGAGCACCTCTTCTATCACCCAAGTTCCTTTTAGGCTTCTTTCTTGAATAGAATGCTGACACTCTTCTCGAACGAAATCTTCACCACATTTTTGACAGTTAACAAACATCAATTTGTTGTTCATTTTTGACGGTAAAACGGGGTGATATAAGTTCTGGTTCGGTAGAATCTGGCATTTAATAAGTCCTGACATCTGCGACAGAGAGGCTGTAACACATTCTTCACCTACGTAAATTTTTTTTGGATGACCCACCGGAAATTTTCCATATTTACAGATGAAGGGGTACAGGGAACATATATCGACATATTTTATGCATTCATTTGTTTTGATCTTGTAGTATTCAACGATATTTTCTGTACGTCCCCCGTAGAGAGCGTCTCTGGGGTTAATCGGTAAATTGATTATCAATGGATGTGCTTCTGTGAAGGCTCTAATTTCATCGTTTAGCATTCCTCGAAATTGACATTCCCATATCTCAATTACTTCTAGTCCAAGGCTTCGGAGTCTCTCTACTTTGCTAACTGATTGTTCGTATCGACTTTCCAATGTATTCAACGGATCATTATGCAGAGGATTGCTTCTGTTGTATTTGAAACATCGAGGGCAACCGTGAAAATAGCATCCTTGGAATTCAAACACTTGATTTGTGTCGCTACAAAAACCGTCTACTTTATGTCCCTTAACAATGGTTTCTATACCCTTAGCGGCGTGTTGAATTTTGATTCCTCTTTGATGTTCCTCCCACAACATCCATTGGATGGCAATTTTTGACTGATTTTCACGCCATCTATAGCCCCCTTTTGGAATTACCCCGATCGTCTCAGGTTTTAAAAAATTGCGTCTAAAGACTTTGTTACAGCATGATGCAATAGTGGTGCTTTCCTGGAAGGGATCGACTGTGGTTTCGGTTTTCATCAGGTCTCGAAATTTGAGACACGCCTGTGTCAATATTTCCACATCGGAGATACAGTATTCAACGATTTCTTTCTGAAAATCAAAAACGTATCCCTCCGCTTCTCTTTCGCCATGCCATTTTAATAATTTTTCCCGAGTGTCTTCTTTTAAATGGTCGGGATCGTAGAAGTCGAGCGCTGGAATTGGCCCTAGATAATTCTGATGAGCCAAAGTGTTGAATAGATGTGGAAAGTATCCTTTCTTTAGCTCTTTCAAATCAAACGCCTTGGGTAGAGCAGTTAGAGGCATAGGAAAATAATTGAGAGAATCCAGAAATTTTACATTTCCTACCTCCATCAATATTAATTTTGTTCCTCTCATAATTACATTTGGGTACAGACTAGTCTTCTCTAAAATGTAACGAAGTAGAAACTGATGATCAAATCCTCCACCATTATGCGCCAGTACAATGACTTTCTTGAATTTTTTACGAAGTGTCAGAATATGATGCATAAATGGAGAAATGACGTCTTGACATCGAAGAATCTGTAATCGAAGGCCACATTTCTTGCATATAGGATTATCGGTACATGATTCACAACATTGTTTGAATACACATAGATTTGGCTCATGAAGTAAAGATCCGTTGGGTAATTCCTTCTCCTGACGGGTTTCCAAATCGTAAAATATTAATAAGACATCATTTGATTTTGGAATTCTTCTGTCAGGCTGTATATAGCACATATGTTCAATTGGTTGATTTTTATAACATGTTTTACAAAGTATATGTCCGCAGATGTGATCATTACCGTTGTGAACTTTAAAACAGTCTACACATCTTTTAATTTTAGAACAGACCGATGGTAAATGAGCGTTAAAACATTCTTGTCCATAAAAGCTTCTATTACATTCTTTGCATTCGATGTGCTTCGTTTTCAGGCAGGCCGGAGATCTTTTACAAGCATAACATTGTTTATCACATCTATGAATTTGTTTATTATTATACGGAATGTGGCAGTTCTCACAAAAATAGCTGCAGCAAAAAGCAGCAGTGAGGGATGTTATGACGCTGTAGTGCCCCTCGTGATAGATTAGGTTAAGCGTCGGACCAGTGGACACGCCTTCAAAAATGACGTCACGACCTTTGCACCCAAACTTGTATACAACAATTTTGTAGTTTTGCAGATATCGTTGTAGCTTTTGAAGTTCAGGTATTCCACACCCCTCCTCAGGGATAACAATATCAGCCTTTTCCACAAGTTGTACAGCTCTTTGTCCTTGTATTTTTCCTCGATCGAGGCGGATTCTGCTATAATCTTTGTCTTTGTTCAAATGGGCCATGGCGATGACAAGGGCTCGTGGGAGACACAAATTATCGGTGTTTTTAACGGTGATAATACCTCTTCTTTTGGCGCATTCCTCATCAAAAGTATTGAAATTCTGACCTCTACCACGACCAGCAGGCAACCTTATGGACGTAACTCCCAAGCAAAAAGTTTCGGTATTCAACCCCACAGAATTTGACTGATAGATGGAAGATATCTTCTCCCATATGTCCTCATTTGAAACGTCGGAAAACGATTTAAAAGCTATCCACCCTTGACCGCGGGTAAAGTCTTTGGAACAGAAAGTGAATCCAACTTGATCACTGGGCTGGAGATGTTCAGTTCCTTTGGCTACTATTTCCTCCAGAGCGTCTTTGATCCATCCCACAGGCTCGACGTCTTTAGGGATAGGTCGTATTTTAAATTCCACTTCTCGCCCATATAGATTAAATTTTTTAATCTTCTTAATAGAATCCTTAACGACGAAGAATTTTTCCATTTTTTTAAAAACTAAAACGTTAACTAGCGACTAAATCTGAACTGAGCACGTCTGTTCGCTGTAGATAACTGACAAGATAATTTGCGGTGATTCATAGGTATTTATAATCTCAATTTTACCCCCACCACTTTTAACTGACCACAGTGTTTCAAGGTCACCGCTGGCCGGTATTAACTCGTTGACAGCCTGCGCTCCCTGCCCATTCACCCATGCTTGACAGCCCCGCCCGGTACTTCTTGCATATCACCGCTACGACTACACCGGCGCTGAACCTAACCTCATTTGCGACGTAGGTGATTGCCTTGTTGGAATCTATTAGATACACAATATAGACTGTACTATGTTTTCAATATTGTATCAATGTTAAAAATTAACTAACTGTATGCACCACATATGAGCAATTCCATTTTTATATGCACACTGAATATGACGTGTTGACTATTGAGATCATCCTATACGCATTGTTCTCCGCGAATTTTATACGTTTTTCCATTTAAACTGAATCCGCAGAATTGCATCTATAATTACCGTTATTCATCGGCTTTTATCGATCTATATGCAAATATTTACCGCAAAACATGAAATGAGTCACATCACTTACGCATAGACGTTATACTACACCTTACTATCGTCGGCTGTCTGAATCACTTCCGGTCGGGTGCGGCATCTAGCGGGGCCCGCCAATCAACATATACCATCAACCCGTTCAAATTTCCCGCCGTCTGATCCGCCAATCAGAGCACGCGGTGAATCTAGCGGTTCCCGCCAATCAACATATACCATCAACCCCGTTCAAATTTCCCGCCGTCTAATCCGCCAATCAGAGCATGCGGTGGGCGTGGCCTAAGTGGAAGTGGTGGGGGGTGTCCAAAGTAGCCCATATTCTACTGACGGATCATTTAGAAAACGTTTTGTATCCTTTTTTTGCAAAATACCAAAAATCGGTACATTTCTGCAGGTACGTATTAAAATTTAATAGCTAGAAAATCGACCTAATATTTCTTTCATTTTCATTGGTCCATTTATATAACTGACCGTATTTTGTGAAATGATAGGAATTTGAAATTCTTTGAAAGTTATCCTAATTCTAAAGCACAAAGACATAATACTACATCTATAGTGTAATGACTTTATTCGACATTTCAATAGAAATCACTGATATTCAGAGAGCTTTGACAGCTTCCGTCAAATTGCATTTCGATAAGGGCTTTTCCTATTGGTCCAACTTACCGTCAAATATTAATGTTTGTGAAATTGGCCGTTAGACCTTTATCCGTCATGCGGTATCGTGGAAGAGTGTTCAGCAAACTCACACTGGAAAAACGAAACCTCGCATTCCGTGTGTTTCGTGTTGGCGGGCTTCCTTTTGTTGATTTTCCTGTGTATGGGTGATTTTTGTGCTTGCCTGATTTGTTTCGTGCTCGTTTCTTTCCCAAAAAAACTGTAAAGGTTATTATACCCTAAAAGTACCTTTATCAATAAAATCACATCAGCTATTTACCATTCAATTCAATTCAATTCAATTCAATGGACTTTATTGTAACACATACATAATTATGTATCCTTACAAATGGCGAAGTCTGGCCAATGGCCATTTATACTTAACCATAAATGTCATGTCAATGCTTATTACTACCTTAAAAATAAAATAAAAAAAACTGAAAAGGAATAATAGGAAAAGAAGAATTAAAAAATATGACATAATGCGTACGATTAGAACAAAAAACATAATACGTACGATTCAAAGAGAGGACAATAACCTAAGAGCTCAATAAGTAGTTCTTATATTTTGTTCGAAAGAGTTGATCAATTTCACCGCATTATACGTAAAAGACAGTTGAAAAATGGCTATCCTATGTTGTGGCATTGTCAGAAGATTAATGTTGCGCGTATTCAAATTGTGAATTAAATTCCCACGTAAAAGCTTTTGCATAAGATAAACCGGAACAGAAGTTTTTAATATTTTTACGACAAATGTAACAAAGTTGTATTTGAAAAGATCAGAAATTTTCAACCAATTCATTGAAGATATTGAGTGAGAAACATGATCGTACCTTCTTAAATTGTTTATGTAACGACTACATGAGTTTTGAATTTTTTGCAGTCTGTATTTTGTGATTTCATCCAGACAGGGATAATAAACTATGTTGGAGTAAGCGATTTTACTGAGTATGAGTGGCTCGCATAACATTTTCTTAATTTTTCTATCTAAAACAATTTTACTTGCATATAGAAGCCTTAGTCTAAAATAACTAGACTTACACACATAGCCAACATGCTCCTGAAATCTGAAATCTTCATCCAAGTACAAACCTAAATGTTTTGCAGAATGGGAAAATATTAGGATACTATTATTTAGTGATAAATTTAACTTTGATTTGAGGAAAGTACGTTTTTTCTTGGAGCAAAAAAGTATAGCTGTCGATTTCGATGCGTTTAGACGTAAATTATGTTTTACCGCATATGTGCAGAAGTATTGCAGATCTTGATTGATAAGGTTGTTAGCTAAATGGTAGTTGTTCGGACAGAAATTATGAGAAACCTGCAAATATCATCAGCATATGTTACTTCTACAGTTGTAAAGAATGTCGTACGTCATGGCCATTTTTGGTTCTTATGCTTAAATGTTCAGCTAGGATTGGAAAATATAATTGTTGGATCACTGTATAGATCTCCGAACGGTAGCGTGGACTTATTTTTCCAATTTTTTGAGGAATTACTGGAAGATGATTTGATTACAACTCATCAAAGTATTTTTTTGGGAGATTTTAATATTCGCTTAGAGACCGAGAACCCAAGCCAAAAAAAAATTAATAAACATCGTATCAGATGCAGGATTTACACAAATAGTTCAAGAGTTGACTAGAGTGACAAATACGTCAGCCACCCTGATTGATTTAATTGTGACTAACAATTACTTGCTTGAAGAAATCACGGGTGATTTTCCACAAATTTCAGATCATCGAATTATAGGCTGCGTATTGGATGTGCAACATGAGATTAAAACAGAGGAAATGAAATATAAACGAAAATTTAATAAGGAAAATATTAACACTATTATAGCTGAACTCTACGGAAAAGATTGGGACTATTCAACAACAGATGTGGACCTATTATATGAAAAGTTTATGAAAAATATTACAGAAACTGTAAATAAAGTTGTACCTCTTGAAAACACTCAAACCCGCAAACAACCGTGGATAAATAGGTTCGTAATCCAAGCCCGAAGAGACAGGGACGAAGTTTATAAAAAGTTTAAAATAACCAAATTAAATTCAGACTGGAATCTGTATAAGAAAAAAAGGAACATTTACGCTCGTGTTATTCGAAACGAAAAGAAAAAATATTATGAAATTACTATTGACCAATGCAAGGGGGATAGCAAAAAAATGTGGCAAACTTTAAAGCAAGTTGTAGGCAGCAAAACAAGAATGTTCTGTCATATGATAATATTGAATTTGAGGAAGATGCTGGATCTGTCCAAGAAAATTTTAACAATTTTTATGCAAAAAGCATAAAGGAAATAGCCGACAAAATACCAAAAATTGCACCGACATTTCAAGAATTGCCACAGTTAAGTGATGGT